TTTTTATTCCCCTCACATCAACCACATCTCCTCTTCCCTACCTCCCCAACAAACAGAGCCCCCCCTCCCCTCAGCAAACATCCTGTCCACCACCCACCCCACCACCAGCAATAAATACCTTCTACCCTATGAAAACTATAAATTGTCCTTTGTGGGCCATCCGGGGGTGGGGGAGCATGGGGTGGGGGCAGCTAGCGGGGCAGAGCCTGGGAACAGGTGGCTAGCATCTCAGCCTCTGGCCATTTCCCCATGGGTGCACAGGCTGCAGTGAGTGCAGCAGGTGGGGGGCTTGCCCAGAGGCAACAGCAGCCGGTGCTCTCCCAGTATGGGTGGCTCAGAGATAAGATGCTCTGTACCAGGGGCCATGCACTGCCTGGCCTCAGGTTGGGGTTCAGGTGTGCACATGTGCCCAGGGACCATGGTAAGTTGGCTAAGCAGACCTCAGTCCAGGTGGCTGTCAACTGAACCCCCTATCCCTGCTTGCATCCCTGAGGCTGTGGGCCACTAGGTGCTGGCTGTAGGCAGCCTGCCTCCCCCACCCCCTTCCCAGGGCAGGACCTGCTGCCATGGCTCCAGACCCTGCTGCCCTGCCCCGTTCCTGTAGGCCAACTGCTCTGCTGACCAACCCACAGCACCTGGGCTTGGCAGGCATGGGGCTCCCCAACAATTGGGACGAGGAGCTGCCCGTGACCTGAGCCCTCTGCAGGGGTCTTCCCTGGGGAGGTGCCCTGGGGCCAGCCCCTCCCAGCATGCCACCTCTGTACCCCAACTCTGTCCCTGCTGCACATGCCCCAGACAGTGCATAAAGAGCTGTTTGCACAGACTGAGGAGTGACCAACTATGCCCTGCTCTGCTGATTGCCATGGTGCCCACACCTATGCAGTTGGCACAGGACCCTGAGCTATGCCAACACAGGAAGCAAGCCCAGGCTGCCCCGCAACCTCTGCTATTACCTCGAGGGCTACCTGTGGCTGCATTACATGTTCCTGCCCCCCACTGCCAAGGAGGACATCACCGCTGGCATCATGTTCCTTGGCATGTGAGAGGCCCATGCCTGCCTAGCTGCAGGGACATAGGATGCTCAATAAAGTCTTGTCCTGTCTCCCACCTCCCTTCATGCTGTGGGGGGAACCTAGGGAAGTATGGACAGGCCAGACTATGAGGGAGGGCAGGGGCATGGGCTGGGGGCAGGGGCATGGACCAGAGTGAAGAGGGAAGCACCCTCCCCACAATGTGGGCTTTACCATGTGGCCAAGGCTGGCATGACTGGCAGCTCCATGTGGTCCCAGCTGTTGGTGATGGCATGTGGCTCTGGCCAGTGTCCTCAGACAGTAGAGCACAGTGGGGCCCCTCCTGGGAAGGACCTGGCGCTGGGCCTCTCCTGGGAAGGACCTGGTGCTGCTTGCAGCTGGTGGTGTCACAGCCAGCTGCACCTCAGTGTTGTGTTACCGCAGCTGCAAGCCCAGGGTGGGGGCTCAGGCAAGCTGACTGTGCTACTGTAAATGGCATGGCTGTGGCCTGGGTCCTGGGCCATAAGCATGTCAGTCAGTTGCCACAAAAAGTGCATGGACTTACGGGCGCTCCCTGACAGATGATTGTGGTCAATGTTTGCCACATTTATGTAGCGCTGTCACACCAACCAGTTGTACCCATGCTCCCGCACCTGGGCTGACAGCCCTTCATAGATGTGGACATGGGAGCGTCTGCCCTGCTCAAACTGGTGCTGCACCTCTGCCTCACCCCACAGTACCACAAGGTTGCTAGTCTCCTCCTGTGACCAGTTGAGGCCCCAGGTGGCAGGCATATGCTTGAACATTGGCATGTGCAACAAAGTCGTCATTGTGGGTCCCACACTGGCTCTCTGGGCCTCTCCCTGTGGTGCCAGGCCTGGGCAGATGCCTGCAGCACTCAATAGAGAGGACCAGCATGGCACTGGCAGCCACATGGAAGAGGCAGGTTGGTGGGGGTGGGCAAGTGAGGAAAATTTGGGGAAATCAAAATGGAAGTAAAAGTCTCTCCCCAAATGGATATCTTGACCAAATTCATGAAAACTATTTAAAAATAAATTATCTTCACAAATTAAAAAAGGAAACATTTTCAACATCTTTGAAAATTGTCATATATTTTTTCTTTCATATTTGAACAGGTCTAGTGCACATGTTACTGTTGAAGTAAAGTTTTGATTGAGTGCTGCCAATGCAG